AGATTAATTATGTATGTATGTGAGACATAGATTGTTTATACTTTTTCGTGTGTATATATTTTTAGTATTTTTAAGGTAATTTTTGGGTTTTCCTCTTATGCTGAGATTATTCAAGTTCCGTTTGGTCTGCATTTAAGTTTTCTATTTTGAGTTTATTTTCGATTTCCTATTTTGAGGATCCGTTTTAAGATTGCTAAAAATTCATTTGATTTGGCATTTTGAAAATTTGTTTCTCAAAACTGAAAATTGAAAAAACACATATAATTTAAAAGTTTTGGGAAATTGTTTTATGACATTTAATTTCATGAAATTTGATGATCAATACTATTATGTTACCGTGCTATTTCCCACCCTACCTAAATAATATAAAAACAAATGATAAATTTAGGTGGCGAAATATAGAAAATAAAAATAAAAATTAGCAATGTAGGTTGAGAACTTTTATATGTGTTCACTTAAATATATTTATTTAGAAATTTTTATTTAAATAACTAATAAGAGTTTGAACTGTTTTTATTTTTTATTTTTTAGAATTTTCTAGAATTTTTTCTTTCAGATTTTTTATTTTAAAATTCAAAACTCAGTTGAGCAGAGCACAATGTCACGGGCCTAGTTTTGTTACACCCGAACAAACTAGAACCATGCGACCTTAACGTTCTACAATTCCCGCATCTCACGAGAAAACGTTAAGTCAGCCTTTCCACGCTCACAAATAATTTATCCAATGAGGCTAAATTATACCCACGTTGAGAAAAGAATTTTGAAGTAAGTAATATATGGAAAACAAGTAAAGATGGGGAAACTTTCTTTGTATAAATGAAAGGAAAAACTTTACAATCTCTTTAATGAATAAACTCACTTCTCTCTACACTCTCTACACTTTCTAACATCTACTCCATCCATTTACAAATGAGACTACATCTCTATTTATAGGCAAACTTAAACCTCCTTAAGCATTCCACTTTACAACTTGCGCTTAGTTGTCGCCACCTCGCGCTTAGTTGTCGCCAACTCATTCTTAGTTGTCTTCAAGTGGATTGTCTTACAACTTGCCTTGTAAGTTGTCACCAACTCGTGCCAACTCGTGTTTAGCTTGCACTCTTCATAATATCTTTGCCAACTCGCGCTTAGCTTGCAAGTGGCACACAAGTGGACATGTTGTGCAAGTTGCCCACTTGCATCCTCAAAATATCCGGCTGCAGGTTCATGTATTTTACCTCCCAAAATGGCTGGGTCGGGATTTAGAAAAACCTCATTAACGTCTTGGAAAATTGCACGATCTAGGCAGCCTGCATTCTACCCCAAAATCATCTATTTGCGTCCTCAACCGGAGTTTGCCTACATCCTTTGCCGAATCTGCTTGTGTCCCCTATCGCAAGCTGGTCCGTCCTTCAGAAACGCGTTACCCGCGCTATCTTGCGACCGCTACCGGGACGGATCGAACGCGACCGCGTGGGCGTAATTCACTCCCCCACTGAATTTGGTGACACGCTCATCGCCATATATCGCCGAAGCATAGACCTTATTTGCCATAAGTCTATCTCATTTTCCCACCTTGTGCCATGACATTCCCGTGTCATGTCAAGCCTTAAGTCATGACCTTGCGATCCGTGACATTCTCCCCCACTGAATTCGCTAACGCCCTCGTAGCGAAAAGTGTTCGGTGCATCCTCATGCAACCTTGCATTGTCTTCCACATCTATAGGCATCAAAGTTCTCCCAACTTGCGGCACCATCTCCTCGATGACCGGGTTTCCACAGTGCCCCTTGCCCCTCTTCCCGTTGCAACCTCTTGCATGCCACCTTCGATACCAACATTCACCCTCAGCACCTCTGCCTTGGTTCCTCGGATGGACAGCTCCTTTGGTTGTAATGTCCCCACATAAGTCGAAGTTTTGAACCTTCGTGCACCCAATTTCGGACTTCTCTGACAATGCTTCCTCAATTTTCTTCTTTTTCGATAGTTCCCTCGACAACTCCGCGAGCATGTCCTTATCATCTTCAAGGACTTCCATTAACTGCATCCCTGACAGTTGTTGTATTTCCATCCCCACAGAAACTGTTTCAACACTCATAGCATTAAACAGCTGGAATGAATTCATTCGAATTTCATCCTCATCTTGGCTATCCATAGCCTCCGGTTTGCTCTCCGAAATGGAAATAGATGCCAATGATCCCAACTCAGGACAATCCCTCATGAAATGTGGTTCTTTGCAAATAAAGCAACCTCGAGGTGTAAAATTACTCATCTTCTTCTCCTCATACTGCTTACTCCAAGTAGTTGGTTTGTTGCCAACGAGTTTGTAATCAACTTTGGGATTTGGCCTCGAATCCAGCTTACTCCATTGCATAGTTTTCCCTGTATCTTCCCTGTTACCCCCAAAATTTCCTTTGGCGGGTTTGATAGTTTGAGCTTCGGTCTCAAAACTTTCTTCAAACTCCGTCAAGGATTCGGCTACTGCAATGGCCTCATCTACGGTTTTGATATCACGACGTTGTAACTCTTGTCGTACCCATGTTGTACAACCATCTAGGAAATAGAATAGCATATCATCCTCCGGCATGCTTGGGATTTGAAGCATAAGGGTCGTGAACTCTTTGACATAGTCACAAATTGTTCCCGTATGTTTCAATTTCCTCAATTTCGTGCGCGCCTCATAGACGACATTCTCCGGGTAGAATTGCCTCTTTATTTCCCTTTTGAACTCATCCCAAGTCTCAACCGTGCAAGTCCCCCTTGCAATTTCGCCATGCTTACGACGCCACCACAACGCCGCAATATCCAAGAGATACATAGAAGCGGTCCGGACTTTCATGGCTTCATCAACAAGATTTACACCTTCAAAGTAGACTTCCATTTGCCATAGGAAGTTTTCCACATCTTTGGCATCCCGTCACCCATCATAATGTTTAGGCTTCGGGTATTCAATCCTCGGGGTAACCATAACTGAAGCGGCACCTCCGCTTGTACCAACAGTGGAGTGCTTGTATCGATCAAGCTCCTTGCTCATTCTTTCCATCATCATAGCCAATTGGTTAACTTGGCCATGCATGGTGGAAACGGCATCCATGACTTTGGTTTGGAGACGACCAAAATCATTTGTCACCGTGGCTTGTCCGGCTACCACAGCTCGAACATCACCTTTCATCGCTTGGACATCATCCCCCAACGATGCCTTTGTGTCCATTACCTCTTGGACATTAATTTGTAGAGTTTCTAGCTTTCCAATGGCGTGTCCCTCCAATGCCTCGAATGAGTTTTCAAGAGATTCGACCCGATCACCCATATTTGAGATGATTTGGTCAAGTTTAGCTTCCATGTTTGTTGTTTCCCTCACCTTACTTTTTCCTCTAGTCTTCCTTACTTCAGTTTGGGCAGTACCTCAACCCCTCTCCTCAATCTCAATATCAACAGTTTCTTGAGATTCCGCCATTTGAGCACCTCACCCAAATCTAGCTTCCAAGAATCTCCGGCGAATCTGGCTACCACAGCGCACTTGGTTACCACAACCAAACCTTCGCCTTGAACTGCCTCCGTAGTCCACACCACGTGAACCTTACACAGACGTCACCTCACCTCTGAGATGAAAATTTGGTTCAACCCACATGAACCTTGCTCTGATACCACTTGTCACGGGCCTAGTTTCGTTATACCCGAACAAACTCAAACCGTGCGGCCTTAACGTTCTACAATTCTCGCACCTCACGAGAAAACGTTAAGTCAGCCTTTCCACGCTCACAAATAATTTAACCAATGAGGCTAAATTATACTCACGTTGAGAAGAGAATTTTGAAGTAAGTAATATATGGAAAACAAGTAAAGATGGGGAAACTTTCTTTGTATAAATGAAAGGAAAAACTTTACAATCTCTCTAATGAATAAACTCACTTCTCTCTACACTCTCTACACTTTCTAACAGCTACTCCATCCCATTTACAAATGAGACTACATCTCTATTTATAGGCAAACTTAAACCTCCTTAAGCATTCCACTTTACAACTTGCGCTTAATTGTCGCCACCTCGCGCTTAGTTGTCGCCAACTCATTCTTAGTTGTCTTCAAGTGGATTGTCTTACAACTTGCCTTGTAAGTTGTCACCAACTCGTGCCAACTCGTGTTTAGCTTGCACTCTTCATAATATCTTTGCCAACTCGCGCTTAGCTTGCAAGTGGCACACAAGTGGACATGTTGTGCAAGTTGCCCACTTGCATCCTCAAAATATCCGGCTGCAGGTTCATGTATTTTACCTCCCAAAATGGCTGGGTCGGGATTTAGAAAAACCTCATTAACGTCTTGGAAAATTGCACGATCTAGGCAGCCTGCATTCTGACCCAAAATCATCTATTTGCATCCCCAGCCCGAGTCTGCCTGCATCCTTTGCCGAATTTGCTTGCGTCCCCCATCGCAAGCTGTTCCGTTCTTCAGAAACGCGTTACCCGTGCTATCTTACGACCGCTACCGGGACGGATCGAACGCGACCGCGTGGGCGTAATTCACTCCCCCACTGAATTTGGCGACACGCTCATCGCCATATATCGCCGAAGCATAGACCTTATTTGCCATAAGTCTATCTCATTTTCCCACCTTGTGCCATGACATTCCTGTGTCATGCCAAACCTTAAGTCATGACCTTGCGATCCATGACAACAAGCTAGCTTGCCTGAAAATTTTTGAGCCTGCTCGTCCCCACTGACTCTTGAGCGCTCGCCCGTAATTTTTTCTAAAAAGTTGATTAATTTATTTTGAGCCTGGTTGTGAATGATTTTGAAAATTGACTTTTTGACCGTTAGGAGAAAAGTGGGGTCCATCTGTGAAAGAAGAAGTCAACTCTGACGACTATAATAATGAAATAACGGTCAAAAAATCAATTTTTTGGGAGAAAAAATCACTCTCAAACAGGTCCTTTATATTTTAAGGGTGCATCTAGCACGCCGGATTAGACCCCGGGGTCAATACATCGTGCACGTAATATGTTAATTTTATCTAGCTAACTAAAATATGATATAGCAAGAATATATTTACCAAACATTTTAGTCAATATATACACAAATCAATAGTGAGTGAATATGAAAGCAAGAGCCTTCAAACTTGACAATTGGCTACAACAATTCCAGTTGTCTCAAAATGGAATACTACAGTCAATTCACCACCGGCCAACCAATTCTTATGTATAGATAACAGCCTTCCTGCCTTCTCAAAGTAGTGGGCATCTCCAATAAAAAGTCAACTACAAAGTCAGTGGTTACCGTTCCCGTAGAGGAGAATCCTCCTCAGCCGACAGGCCACAACACCTTAGATTTCGTTGGCGTGCTGGTGATGGTGATGGTTCTGCATGATCGAGGGAAGTGAAACAAACTATGATGACTATGAGATTGTCAAAAGTGTTGCGCCGCATGGCCTTCATCACAATGTCCTTGGCACATTGCTCAGGGTCGTCATGCCGTCTCAGTCCACGACTCACGAGGCTAACTGCTTGTTGACTAGATTTCACGTCCCATATCCCATCGCTCCCCGTTATGAGGAATTCATCATTCTCTGGTAGAACAATTTGATGAAATTTTGGCTCTGCAATAAGAGGACAAGGAGAACCCCGAGGCAACTTAACGCTAGAAACACAGAGGAAATCAATTAACGTGCCAGAAATTATCAGTACTTACAGTTTCAAGCTGTTGGAAAACAGGTCATGGGTTGCCCATGTGGGCTCTCCCGACCCTAAAGATACTAAATATGGATAGGAAGGAATAATTTGAACTTGTATTCAAATCCTTAACTTCTGTCAACCTCTCTCAACTTCATATAACCTCTCAACATGTGTTATATTGAGATAGAAGAGAAATGAACGGTCTGCAATGGAGAAATTCGTTAAGAAAATGCATCTAAACTACAAAGGGATTAGAACCATATTTTTGGCTAGAAAACTCACAAAATTTAGCATTCAGATTCTCCTTCCAATGTGATTGAGATTGAGACCATATGACCATATGAGTGCAATTAAATGCACATTGGAGCACGGAAAAGTAAGGTGATTCAACCATGAAGATCTTGGAAATTAATTCTTTTCAAGCAAGAATTTTTGAACTTCAACCATGCATGTTGCGTATTCATTCATAAACTCATTATGTTATCTAAAATACAAGCTTGGAACACTGTAGCTCTTATGTTGAGATGACACTCATTCAAGAAATCAAAATTTTATGAAATGCATATGAAAGGAAGGTATCCAAATGCCATCTAATATGAAGCTTAGAGTATAAGAGGCCAAGATATCAAGAACTCAATAGGCAATTTATTTCTGTCAAATTCCAAAGCATTAAGAGATGACTGGCACAAAGATTTACCTTCCAAGTACAAGAACTGTCAAAGCGGTTGTTCTAGAAGAAGTGTTCACACTACTGTCATCAGCCAAGGCCATGTCCGCCAGAAGAAATCCTTTCTTTAGACAATTTTCAACATCTAATCGAAAAGCATCATCAACTTCAGAAGTTTCTGGGAAATTAGCATCTTCAAAAAAGAATCTGATTGCATTTTTTCTAACATAGGTTGCTGCCTCAGGCCCTCCATGGTCATCAAACACCCGTAAGATGCAAAAAGGAACCAATGAGAAAATGATCGGACCACTGTAATATAGGACTAAAACAACTATAGGACGAGAAAATCACTTACCCCATAGAATGCACTTGGCTTGGGAGAACTAAAGAGTGAACAGAAGTGTGCAGATAGATCATCTATTCTTATGTGCTCATCCTCCATGTACCTTCGTGGCCCAATATCAGCAAAATTAACCGAACGAATGCTGGGAATACATTGCAGAACGGATGTTTCTGGGAATTTGACATCCTGACAGATAAAGTTGTTTTCAAATAAAGTTTTGCCTTAAAAGTAAAAGATCATAGGGTGTGACTTTAACTTAAAATATGTCTACGTACGTTTGAGTAACTAGTAACTGATGAGGAACAATACAAATGGCATTCATCACATTATTCAACATATTACAAGAAAGAGTTTCTTAAGCATGTACTAAAAGGGTTTCTTGTTGCCTGCATATTTGGATGTTATTTCCTTCATGACCGTCACTTATACTATAGGTCGTCTAGGCACATAAGCAAGTGATTGGAAGCTCATCGACCAAGATCTTGTACCATTACTATCTCATCGAATCTCATTTTCTAGAGAATTATTACGGAAGTCCGGAGAATTCAGGAAAAGAAAATTGGACTTTCATTACTACCTAAAACCACGATCATATAAAGCTTAACACAACCACTAGCTAGATGAGGAAAAACAAATGTTTACACAGCAAGCAGTAATCTAATGGAGCAAGAGTTGATACATGTAAGAAAGCTTTGTGAATAAAAAAATTCAGTGCAGAACAGGTTTCAATTTTTCGGGTTATATGGTATAAGCAGATAAAGATATTGATTTCGAACTTGATCCTCAACCCACAGTGACTGCTGGCATATATAATTAATCAAATAAAGCATATTATTATTATTTTTTTCTTTGCAGATTCAAATGAGGAGAGCGGATGATACAGACTAACCTAATTCTCCCCTCAAACACCCCTCCACCCAGATAAGGAAGAGGAAAATTGTAAGAAATAGAAATTGATTAAAAAAGACTCGTCTTTTACCTAATAATGATGCATAAAATTTTGCATCATTTTCTTAGCCTTTAAAAATCTATTCTTTAATTATAATCTTTAATTTTCCATTTTAGTTTTTCCAATCACGGTTCAAGCAGTTCAGGTCATGTAATCTAACACTTTTCTTAACATAATAGCTAATCGTCATACATCAAAACATATATTCCACAGTTCAAGATCTAATAAACAATTTGATGCAAAAATTAAAGAAAATTTATGAACAGCTTGTGAAAACTATAAAGGCGGAAAATAATACAAAACCCATAACCAAAACTTGTGAACAAAAATTAAAATCTAAATCAGAAACAAAGTAGAAAAACAAGAACTAGTTCTATTAAAGCTTTTACTACTTCAGAGCACGGCACATGCAAGACAGGAACACTCTTTTGAATGACAACTGCAGCTTCAGCTCCCATTTTTTTCAGATCATCACACTCAAAATCAACTAACGCGCTTCAAGATTATCTTGGAAAACAAAACAAAACCAAGAATCTCGACTTTAAACAAGATTTGTGATGGAAGTAAATATTTGAGGTCTTTTTCTTGAGTAATATGCTTCTGAGACTTTCTTGGGATTTCTATGAAAGTGGAATCGAGAAAATAACGATCAAAGATTTAGAACAAGAGGGTTGAATTTCTATTATATAGGAGCATATTCATTTTTTCATCCTAATTTATATTCGGATCGATTTAAATTTAAATTCTAATCCAACGAACTCAAAAATGACATTTTTGCCGCAAAATGCAATTTGTATCTCCTTTGCATCTTACGGGAGAATGTTTCGATTACTTTGAAAATGTAAATCTCTATTTTACATTACCATGTGAAGGGAGACAATGAACCGGTGGTAACACTTTTAAAGTAGTCGGTGTGAATGAATTGGTGTGAGTTACTCAAATCTAATTGAATTTTTCGATTCACACATAAATCGGTTGATACGAAGTCTAAAGGTTTCAGTTATGGACATGTGGATGTTTCCGATGGGTAAATTTGGGTGGGTCAATCGATGCGTGAAAGCGATTTCTTAATATATAGACCTACTGACTTTAAATACCTATTAGTCAATTCAGATTGTGGGCATGAATCGAAGTATTTATAAATTGGTTGTACTACGGCCCGCATGTACGAGAGAAATTTCAATGGGGCGGTCACACCACATGACGATGTGACCGTCCTATTAGGGTGCGCCACCTCAGCGGGTGGCCCATCACACACCCCCAAAGTATGTGGGCCACCCGTCGAGGTGGCACCCTGCCCCATTGAAGATTTAATCCGCATGTACATCAAAATTTTAAAGTTAATTTATCAACAAATAATATGAGGGTCAAAATCTCATTAACCTAATGAAAAAAATTCTCACACTTTTTATGATACCTCATCAATCTATATAAACGTTGGTGTACAACAAGTACTTTTCATTTATAAATAGGTGGATGAAGTAAACAGTACTGATTTGGGAAATGTGTAAATAAAAAGTGATTTGATTAAAAATATTTTTTAATCAAGATGTTTATTAATACCTAGTCTCTTACTTTCTACCACACAATTTTTCATAAAATAATATTACTTGTAAATCGAAAAAATTTTCTTCTTTTTCAACCATTCATTTTTCCCAAAAAAAACTATTTCACCCATTTTAATTTCAAAAAATGGGGGCCAAACGAGGGTTAAAAATTATGAGCCAAACATAGAAACGATTAAATATTTACACATTTATAAAAAAGGGGGAAAAATTGGATTTATGTGTAATATTATTTTATTAAAAAATGTGTGATTAAAAATAAAGAAAAAACATATATTAAAATTAAGATGGAGCCCATACAGAAACATAATTTTAATAAAAACAATTCAAAATAAATTACTTGATGGTATTTGATATTGAAATACTGGTAAAGTCAGAAAGAAGATAAAGCAAGAGCCCGATGCGTGCCTCCACCCGGCATCGATCACAATCATTCACAAATTAAAGCATATCTCAAATTTATACATCTTTCAATTTTGATGGAAAACATAATGACTACATTGAGAATCACTTCAATCATTTAACCGACTAGTGATGAAATCATTGCAACCTTTTGAGACTGAATGAGTTATGAAATACTTTTATTTGTTTATATGATCAACTTGATATTTGGTGGAAACCTTAATCATTATTGTTGAAGTTAGCCCAATAAGTAATATGGCTACTATTTGATGCTCATTATAGGATTTTTGAATGGTGATTTTTGGATGAAGCGAGGTTAAAAGTAGGGAATTTTTTGTACGTACGTATAAAATATTTTGTTATATAAATAAATGATTTAAAATAGGATAAAGATATGTGTAAAAAATATTGTACAAAATATTTGACAAACTCGACAAGTAGTGGCTCCCTATTGGAGGGGTGGCTGTGGGACAGTCACTCCTCCTATAGGGAGCCGTCACTTGTCGAGTTTGTCAAACATTTTGTAGATGAGTTTGTTAATGTAGCATTGTCCTTTAAAATAAGTCTCAAAATTAAAAGAGACAAACGGGGGCATAGCTTAACTAGGTAGAATAATGAATTCGCATTTTTTTAGTTAATCTTGTCATTGATTTATTTTTGTACTTTTTAACATTAAAAGGCTGATAGTGACAAACCCCAAAATCCAAACCTTTTTAGAAACCTGAAAACACACAAATTGTCAGCCATTCTTTGGACGTAGATTGAACCACTGTGCATTTGATGGCTAATATATACTTGTTCGACGGAAATATCAACTTGTACGCTAGTTCCTTTTGCCTGGGTGCATCAATATAATTGTAGTGCAGTTCTTGTCACCTTTGTTTGATCGAGTTCCATTGATAGAATACCAAATTGGAGTTGAATTTTTGCTATTTAATTTACTGTCAATCCAATCACAAATTGACACGTCATGAAAAAAAATTAAAGTTGTCATCAATTTTAATTTTCTATGATATGTCAATTTGTAATTGAATTGACAACAAATTGGATAATAGATATCAACTCTATAAGTGAATTATAATAAACTTGTGTCAGTATTGCAACGTAGAAGATTTTATTTATAGAATTATAAGTAACTCTGAAATAAAAAAAAATTGTGATAATTACACATTCAATTATTAAAAAATAATAATAATAATCCCACACAATTGAAAAAACTGTCATGAAAATTTATCTTTTTATATCTTCAGCATCCCATCAAACTCAATATGGAGTAGTCAAAATCAAATTGAGTTTGAGTTTGAATATTAAATTGATACGAGTACATCATAATTTTCAAGATTTAAATGGTACTTCAAAATTGTATTTACATGTTTCATGTTAGGCCAACCAAGAACTAGAAGTTGGTGCCAAAAAATCGTTATTCACCTTGACCATCACAAGACTTGAATGACACATCCCATAAGCAGAAAAAATAGCCCTTCAAAAATACATGAGATTACCCATAAACCACTCAAAGATGAAGCCGAAGACTAGCCTAACAATAAGAACCTAGGTGCACTATGAGGCTAAGAAAATGTGAAGGACATAAATTTTGTGGAAAATTAATAATATTTTCTTCTAAACAAGGAGTGCCAACAATATAATCACCAACAATCCATTCTCAACAACCACATTATTTTAAAATGAGACGTGGGTTGTAAGGAGGCTATGTAAATCATTTCAGTTGTTACTAACATTCAATTTAAATACCCCTCAAGTCTTAATAAATGTCTTGGACTTGAATTGTTGGGGACACGAAAAAAATTCGTAAGAAGTGAAATAGCATAGACTCTTACGAAGCAGGCATTATGAATGAATGAGGTAGAACAAGATTTCGAGAAAATTGATTCTCGTCATTACGAAAAAAGGTCAACCCTTAGGATTCAACTAAAAGCCCCGTTCTAAAGTCCAAAATGAACTATGTGTCTACTTATATTAGCCATGCTGCCATGAAATCTTGGGTTTTGTGTTGGTGTTATGGATCTTTGATGAAGTGCCCAATCTGACGTGGCTCCACGTGGAATGGAAGTATAATAATAAAATAATATTATTTGTAATCACTCACTAAAACGATCATTTTATATAACATACACATGACAGATGATTATTTGATGTATTAATGTAGTAATGTTTATTAATTTATGCATCTAATATGTATGTCATATAGAGTGACTGCTATAATTAGCGACTTAGAATAATATTATTAATAATAATAGTATATCAAGTCCATATATAATATTTTTGCTAGATTTGGAATTTGTGTAGGTGCCGTGACTTGTAACACGTTTAACTAGTACCGCTTCCTTTTGCCTTACCTAGTTACCCATCTATCCTTTAGGGTAATTAGAACATAATGTCCCTATATTTTATTATTATTGTGAAAAATGTCCATATATTTCAATTTTTTTGATATTTTCACTCATAACTACGCATTTGATTGTGGAAAACATTATTTTCATCCATTTCTATTCAATTTCTCAATGAAAAGCTATGAAATGACAAATGAAACAAAAAGTAGAGAAAAGAAAAATAAAAGACTAACTGCAACTATGTTTCAAATCCCTCCTTATCTTAAAAAAGAAAATATGAGATTTACTGTTCATTTTTGTCACATAAGTTTTAACATGAAACTGGTTTGAAATTGCTTTGGCAACACTAAATTACTCTATTCAATCACACTGTAGCATTATTTTCACACGTCATTTCACCATTTTCACACGCCGTTTTACTGCGATATTACCCCCACTAAAATATTTCTCCATTTTCATACACTAGTTCACTTGATTAAAGCCAATACAATACTATCTATATATTATATAATAAAGAAACGAAATTAAATATATATTGTAGACAAAAATAGAAAAATATATTATAAGGTTTTTAAATTAAATTAAAATGATTTTAAAAAATAAATATTATTTAATTCAAATTTAACGAATGTCATTCTATCATAAAGAATGTATAAAGATTATTTTGTTAAACTAAATTAAACAAATAAAATAAAAGAAAGTTAAAAAAAATTAAATAAATGATATGTAAATATTATTTGACTAATTAAAATTGAACAAATTAAATTTATATATATATATATATATATCCTCCATGGATTCTCTCCAACCATGGAGAAATAGTCTCTCCTTTCAAAATGAAAGTTCTCTCTTTTTGACTTATCAAAAGGAGAGAATTCTCCTTCTATCACTTTGTGCAATGAGTGATTCCACTCTATGCGCGGAGTGATTTTACTCCGTGCACAGACTGACAATATTTTTTTTAATAGTAATTTTTTTATTAATAAATATTTAATTTGAAAAAATTAAATATGTCTAAATTCCTCTTTACCTTAAAAGAGAGGATATGATATTTACTTTTCATTTTTATCACATTGATTTTCACATTGAACTAGTTTGAGATTGGTTCGGTCATTTGAATTTGACACAAAATAACTTTCTCTATTTTCTCACACTATCAACTATATCCTATAATTTTATTAATAGTAATATTCTCTTAAATAATATTTTGTCATACTGTAGTTTTTTTTTTAATTGTTGTAGCAGAAACGACATCGTTTTCTATTTTACCTGTAGCTTACATGCTTTGAATCTGGAACAGAGTACTCTTTCTCCATTTTTTCATGTTATCAACTATCGATCATATCTTATAATTTTGTTAGTAATAATATTTTTTAAAATAATTTTTTACATAAAAGTTATTCTTTATTTCTAAATCTAAAATGTAAAAAGTTACTTCTAACTAAAAAGATCATTTCAAATTATTTAAAAGTAAAACGGACTTATAATTGCAAAAGTTACTTATAAGTAAAAAATATCACCTTAAAATTTTTTAAGTATCAATATTTAAATATATTAGTTTTTAAAATTAAATAGTAAAAAAAAGATTACACTATCTAGAATGTAAAAAGTTAGAAGTAAAAAAGCACTTCAAGTTATTTAAAAGTAATAAAAAACTTATAATTGTAAAAGCTACTTATGGGTAAAAAAAATATTAATCACTATTTCTCTTATAATTGCAAAAGCTACTTATAAGTAAAAAAATATTAATTTAAAAATTTTTTTAAGTATAAATATTTTGATATATTTAATTTAAAAATATTAATAAAAAGATTATTCTATCTAGAATGTAAAATGTTTTTTATAAAAAAAAAAATCACTTCAAATTATCTAAAAGTAATAAAAAAACTTATAATTGTAAAAGCTACTTATAGATAAAAAAAAATATTAATCCATCTTTCTCTTATAATTGCAAAAATTACTTATAAGTAAAAAATATTAATTTAAAATTTTTTAAGTATAAATATTTAGATATATTTAATTTAAAAATATTAATAAAAAGATTACACTATCTAGAATGTAAAAAGTTAAATTTATAAGAAAAAAATAACTTCAAGTTATTTAAAAGTAATAAAAAAAATTTATAATTGTAAAAGCAACTTATAGATAAAAAAGTATTAACTTCAACATTTTTAAATAAATATTTACATATATTTATTTTTTAAAATTAAATGTTGATAAAAAAAATTACTATAGATAAAATTTAAGAAAAAAAACATATTTCCATTCCGTGCACGAAGTGTTAACACTCCATTTGTATGCAAATATGTTTTTTTATATATATATAGTAATTCTTTTATTAATATTTAATTTAAAAAATTAAATATATCTAAATGTTTATTTAAAAATGTTGAAGTTAATATTTTTTTTTATCTATAAGTAGCTTTTACAATTATAAGTTTTTTATTACTTTTAAATAACTTGAAGTGATTTTTTTACCTTATAAGTAACTTTTTACATTTTAAATAGTGTCATCTTTTTATTAATATTTAATTTAAAAAATTAAATATATCTAAATATTTATATTTAAAAAATTTTAAATTAATATTTTTTACTTATAAGTAGCTTTTGCAATTATAAGAAAATGAGCGATTAATATTTTTTTACCTATAAGTAGCTTTTACAATTATAAATTTTTTATAAGTAACTTTTTACATTCTAAATAGTGTAATCTTTTTATTAATATTTAATTTAAAAAACTAAACATATCTAAATATCTATACTTAAAAAATTTTAAGTTAATATTTTTTTACTTATAAGTAGCTTTTACAATTATAAATTCGTTTTACTTTTAAATAACTTGAATTGATCTTTCTAGTTATAAGTAACTTTCTACAATTTAGAAATAAAGAATAAATTTTATTTAAAAAATATTATTACTAATAAAATTATAGAATATTGTCAATAGTTGTAGCGTGATAAAATGGAAAAAGAGTACTCTATGTTAGATTTAAAGCATGTAAGTTCCAGGTAACATAGAAAACGACGTCGTTTCTACTTTACCAATTACAAAAAGTTATAGTGTGACAAAATATTATTACTGATAAAATTATAGAATATGATTTATAGTTGATAGCGTGAGTAAATGGAGAAAGATATTGTGTGTCAGATTCAAAGGATCAAACAGTTTCAAAATCAGTTTAATGTGAAAACCAATATGACAAAAATGAACAGTAAATCTTACATTAGGCTCCGTGCACGGAGCAAAAAAAAATTTGCGTTTTTTATTTTTTTTATTTTTTTCCTTTTCTCGCTTCTCGGAGAATTTTTTTTCGTTTTTATTTTTCTCATCACGCAACTATACAAGACATAAGACCTAAACCTAATATCTTCAATCTCTCTCTTTCTCTCACGCCACAATCACATTCCACATCGCTTCTCCCATTTTTTTGGCCAAATCGTCAATGGTAAGCAAGCGATCGAAGCCGACGTTTTTCTTCGTGATGGCCACACCTGCTTAATCTTTTTCTGTAATCTAATAAATTTTTAACCCATATTTTTTCAATTTCTTCGAATTTTAGGATATTATGTTTTTTCTGATAATTTTGACACGATGGGTTTATTCCTACAATTTGGTGCCTTTTAAGTGTAATTGTGTATATGTTCATATGTTTGAAACTGATTTCCTAAACCTGCTCTCTTTGAAAAACGGACAACGATATTCGAAGAATTTAGTCTTAATGGTGTTAGTAGAGCTAGAATTCAGTCCAGCATTCGCTTGGGCCTCATTTCTGTGAATGGCCGGGTCATCTGTAAGGTGACTTATTTTTCCTCCGTCTTCAGTGTTTTGAAGATATAAAAATCTGATTCCATTGCTAAGTTTTTTTAAATATCAAAAGATATTCTTCTCTCTGTTTGACTGCATTTTGTGTAGAATTTAAGTGCTTAATTTTGTACTTTTCATAAGAAAGTGTTATGCAGTTTTTTCCATGATATTGTGCATCTTTTATAATAATCTTTTCCTATTTTTTATCAGGAATTTTGATGCTTTTGTAATCAGGTTGAAACAAAAACACAAGTACTCATTGGAGATTCAAAGGAAAAGATTATGCTCTGCCTGAAGACTCGGTACTTTCAGATTTAATTCATATTGCTGGTTTGTTTCCCAATCCTGAAATTGTATTGGACTCCTTGTCTATTTGGTAAGGTTAAATTTCACCATTCTTTTGTCTACTTCAAAAACCATTTCATGTTCTAAAAAATTAAAATAATTAGTTAATTAATTAATATGCAGTGTCACAGTCCTTATGATATCCTTTTTCCCTTTTCTAATTTTCCAATGGTTTGCTAAGTATTGAATTAATTTTTTTCACTTCTCATGACCAAAGTATTAATCCTTCTTTAGAATTTATGTTGTAAGGTTAACATTGTTTTATTATGGATATCTCCTGTTCCATTTCAAAAGTAGGACCATACATTTTTCAATTTGTCATACACTAATATTACCTTAAGAAAAAACACAATGCACGAGCATGAGACTAATGTTTTACAAAAATACAAACGGCCCAGATAAATTATTAAAAAATCAAAAATAAAAAGAAGAAGAAAATGAAAAGGACAATCATCATCTTCTTCCTCATTCCCCTCCACTCAACCCATCCTTACCCCTAAAGTGCAAATCAAAGCAAAAATGACTACCACCTAACAAAGTCACCACCACAAACCACCAGTACTGCTAGCACTACAGATGGCAAAACCCAGAAACAATCCCTTACCTTCTCCCTCAATTTACCGACAAATATAAAATTGAGCAAGCTGTAGAAGAATTGGTAGCTAAATGACTTGTTGGATGCACTGGACTTTAATCAAGACGTTATCTTTGTCAAGAGCGTGAACAGAGCAGCGGAGCTTAATAAGTTGCTCGTGGAATGTAATTTTCCATCAATCCGCTTCTTCTCTGGCATGTCCCAGGATGAAATGTTTTATAAATTCAAATATTATAAATATTTATATGGTAAAATGTATCGTGATTTGAACCAAAGTTTGGTTCATTTATCAGAGCTACTTAACAATGGCAAATTTGTGAAATTGCAAAATGAAGGTTTATAACAGTACGCTGGAGTAATTAACGGTTAAAAATAATTATATTGCACGTGTTTACTTGATACCTTCAACAGATGCACATATGGAGAATCCTTTACTCAAATCTGGTTTTTCTTCATATGTAGGGAGAGCTAAGTTGATATAAAGTAACAGCTGATTTTGCTTGGAATCAAATGAAACCACGAATGTGGGCGAGAAGGTAACGGATTGTTTTGAGTTTTGCCATCCGTGGTGGTGATGGTGATTTTTTGCTTTGGTTTACGGTTTGGGAATAAGAACGGGATTGGGGGTGGTGATTAAAGGTAGTGACGTTATCTGCTAATTATTCCTAATGTTACTGTCAGCGTGCGTATTACGCTCCGTAAAGTGTGGGTATTGTGTTGAAGTGACCATCCACACGGGATGGAAAGAAACAATGTTTTAATATAAATAATAAAATTTTGAACTTTGCTACACGTATAAAATCGAGTTCTCAGAATTCATACAGGTGGACTACTTGGCAAAATCTAGGCAAAAGATGGCAATAAAAAAAAATATAAAAATTGAACCACTCATATGCTACTCTGTAAAATTTCTGTGAATAAAAATCTATGCACTTAGCATTTTTTTAAAATTTTAACCTTTTTTTTTATTTTTAGGAAAATGCTTCTTATAAATAACTATTTAGAGGGTGTTTGACACCTATTTTTAAGGAAAAATGAATTTTAGAATAATATATTGATGGGAAATATGTGGATAAAATGTTTTTGATTTACATATAATATTATTTTAATGAATAATATATGGTTGAAAAGAAGAGAAAAAAATGCATTTTGAGAAAAATAGGAATCAAATGGGGCCTAACATAATATTTTACATAATGATGAGGTGTCAAAATATAAGTGGGAAGGTTATGTGATTGATGAGATTTTGATCCAATTAAATCTTTTCACATTATCGATTGGTAAATTATTACGTAAGTTGTTATGTACATTTAGCATAAGTTATCTCGAAATGTGCCCTACAAGTATATAATAATTATAAGTGTATCACCATTAATTTATTCTATTGTTTGCCCATTATTCACCCATAACTATCCTCTATTCTCTTCTCATGTAAACTGTCCAATCTGAAAACGTGTCTACTCAGTAGGTTTGTGGGTTTCTCATCATACAAATTACAACTTGCATCCAAACCCGTAAGTCTGATAAAGTAACAATCTCATTTTGAATTTGATTTGAGAAAGTAACATTTGGATTAATTAATTAAGCATGGAGATACGTGGGCTACAATGTTTACTTGCAAAAAATACGATGGATATTGGATGAAATTAACTTATATCTTCCCATTAACACGACACTTGAGTTACATTTTGATACCACTTTACCTAAACACGGGTGGTGAACTTGAAAATAAGGCATTAGGCGAGTAAAAAATAGCTATTGAATTCAATTTGGCATTTACTTTACTTGAAACAATACCGCGGCTCGGGGAGTAAAGAACATCGAATTAATTAATCGTGCAATTATCAGTTAACTTTGTCTTGTTGTCTCTCATAGAAAAGAAGTGAAATCGTGATTTTTCTTTGTGTAGTACAATCTTTGGTAGCGAAATTAGAAATCCTAATTTCTTAGATTTCGTGAGAGGTTCAAATTATTGGAAATAATGCTTATATATAGTCATATTTCAAGATTTGATTCTTGCTGATTTTCAGGGTTGCCATTTGGTAAACAAGTTAAAAATAAATAAATAGAACTTTAAACAATTTTGCCTTTGATTATTGAATTATTAGGTTCTGGTGTGTCTACAATTGAGTATTATACGTTGGTCATAAGGTCAACATAGTCTGGTCATGAGAAGAATTCAAAATAGAAATGGTCAGAGAAGAATAGAAATCGGTCTCATTTGACCATGTTTGTGAGCTTTTACTTTTACATTCTTTTTTGTACCGTACTACATTCATCGTTAAAATAATATTACGCATAAATAAATAAAAAATTTATTCTTTTTTAACTATACATTATTCAACAATTAATATTTCATAATACGTTTGTTCAAATTAATGTGACTCAAACAGCGCTAATTAATTACAATTGGAGTGGACCATCAGGTCTCATTAAATATCTTGTATCATCAGATTTGATTGATTCAACGGTTGAGTTGGGGAGGTATTCCTCAGTTCTACAATGCAAGTGTCGAATGATTCTTATGAATCTATGATGGTTGCCGGGAGTAAATATTAAGTCATGTTTGGTCTCTATTAAATTTTATTTTATTTTTTATTATCATATTTTTAATCACACAATCTTTCATAAAATAATATTACATGTAAATCGAAAAATTTTCTTTTTTATAACCACTCATTTTTCAAAAAAAAAAAAAACACTATTTCTCCCATTTTAATTTCAAAAAATGGGAGCCAAACGGGGCTAAGTTTAAGTTCAGTAGAGTTTTACCGGGGCACAGCTCAACTGGTGGATCAATCAACATTGTCTTGCTTCCAGCGACAGGGTGGAGAGTTCGATTCCTGGTGAGAACCTGCAGCCAAAAAATTTGGTATGGAGCAATCACTGTGGAGGAGAGTCTCTTGTGCACAGAAGTGTACAGGTAATGGGGGGAACCTGTGATCTAGTTGAGGCATAACCCGCGATTTATCCCCTCCAAGATTCTAGGGGCAAGGGTCTTGTAGGTCCAGGATTTAGTTTGGTGTAAGTTGGGATACCTGAATATCAAAAAAATAATAATAAATAAGATTTTTAGTAAATTTTATCGAAAATTAATGAAATATGTGGCTGTTAAAATTTAATAATTGATTCTAACTTATATTTTAATCCAAATTTTAATACGCACCAAACATGGACTAAATATTATTAGATAATGAATTCTTTTTATAATTTTAAAGTATATGTAAATGTTAAGACGTCAAATTAACTGACTTTAACGGGCTTGTCAGCCCATAAAACTCGTAAGCTCAACTCGTCGAACATGTGTTGGCTCGTTCGAGCGTTCGTGACTCGGCCAGGTTTATATTCATAATTGTGCTATTTGTCCTAATATATTACTTGGGATTATTGTACCTTGGCTCAGTGTATTATAGGATTTGTCATAATGCATTTTTTTCCCTAATTTTTTTTGTTCTAACTCCGTCACGTTGTATTTGCACTTTGTCATAGAAATAACGTATTTATCCTGACTTTGTCTCCGCTTTCATTGAATTAATTAATTGCCACAAGATTTAATGGGCTGTCATCGAGTTTTAAGTAGATGTTGCTAAATGGATGACCTATTATGTATCATTATTTAGGTTCAATATCTAAATAGATCGCAAATTTTTTTTAATATTTGTTCGGTAGTGATTATGAGAATTAATTTTTTAACTATTGAAGAGAAAAGTGGATCTCATCTATTAGTGAAGTAATAAATAACGACTAGAATAGTGGAAAAACAATCAAAAAATTAATTTTTTAGGGGTGAAAATTGCTACCAAACAGAAGCTTAATAGCACATTCGTGAAATTAATTCAAATATAAATTATTCAAAAGAATAATGTTACGTATTCCCACTCCATTTTAGATAGCACTAGATGATTAGTTAAATGAAAGGTAAATTTAATGTCATATTAACGTCATCTAGATTAAAATTGCAACCCCGACAGAATTAAAAGCTTGTTTGGTATAATTTTTAATCAAATTAAAATTATTTTTTTGACTGCTATTTCACTATTACAACCGTCATTTTTGAATTCTTCTCTCACAGGTAGAACCAACTTTATCTTTAACGGTCAAAAAATCAATTATCAAAATTCTTACCAAACAAGCACTAAGCCCCTATTTGTTTTTCATTATTTGGTCATTAAAATGAAAAATATGATCGTTATTCATCATATTAAGTCAATATTTTTGAATTTCTATCTTTTGTGTAGAATTCGTAACGATTATATTTTTCATTCTCATTTTTACGTTAATAAAAAACAAACGGGATCTAAATAACATTACTCTATTTAAACAGTCAATTCGAGTTTTCAAAAACATCTAGTCTAGGTAGAAAAAGTACAGAAAGCAGATGTTGAACGGTCAAAAAGCATAGACTAACGACTTGTAATGATTCATGACTCAAAAAAGGTGGGAATTTCTAAGAACATTGCAATATAAAATTTAGTTTCCTCCTTTTTGTGATTGGATTGTTATCAAATACCAATATACCAATAGTATAAAAATAAGAGGAATTGTTGCCTAACTTTAACTTGTATCTTGCTGGGCTTGGAATTTTCTTTGAACATTCTAGCCGAGAATCGAAGATTTATTGATTCATCTATCAGGGTTTTGAGAGCTCGGGTCTAGTTCATGTTTGCGATTGAAGTTGTACAGGTCAAGTTTTACAGTCGGAGCAGTTTGTTGCTTTAATTCTCGAACTGATCGGTACATTATCTTATGCCTTTTTTACTTCTTGCTGTTTTTGAATTTGCATTTGTTAGATTCGCAGTTCTGGTGGCGTCATTCTATTTTAGTTTTTCTTTTTAGGGTTTGTGGAATTTGATTGTTTGACTAGTCTTGCATTTCTCTTTTTAATGAACTGTTTCCCCCTTGTAGTCGACTATAAATGATATTGATCGCTTCCCAGATCTCATCATGCGATGGTCTTCATAATTAATAACGGGTTTATTTAGTACCAACCTGGAAAATTTTACTGTATTCTTGACTCGGACTTAATAAGGCTGGTTTTTTCTTTTCTTTTTTTAAAATTATTTTTCTTCTTAGCTAAATAATTATGAATTAGAAGTTTTAAAAATTTTGCTATCTTGAACTTCAGTTTTGAAGGCTGCCGTTCTGCAATCCGTCTCGCACTATCTTAAAATTCAGTCTTCTTCTCGTCACTCCAAGATGAGTCGACCATCAATCTAATAAAATAAGTTTGTTAGGGATTTGTTTCTTTAATTGATCCACGACAAACAATAAAAATAAATAAATAAATAAAATAAAATAAAAGAGAAATTCTTTACCTAATTTCTTCTTTTCTTTTGGCGGTCAGTTGGCATTTAGTTGTTTCCAAGTGTTACTGATTTTAGAATTGGATGGTAATTATCTTCACTGAGCTTGTATGAAGCAGTGCCAATATCAAAAGAAATGTAGTTGTTCTGGGTCAATTTTTATTAAACCTATCTGTTGGTAGACGATACCATACTCAACTGCCTCACCTATCTGTGCTTTTATGACAGATTTGAAGACATTAATGTGCTTTTATGTCTCTCTCAAGTTATGATCTTAGCTTCATTCATTTGTTGAACCTTAGGGACTTCCATGACACCTCATCCTGTCTCTCGTTGTTGCCCATTTCTTCTTGGCCTTCCCTTCTGTTCACGCTTTGGTGTCCTGTTTCACTTTGAGGGAAAGGATTTGTCGCTTTATCTTGTTTTCTGAGAAAGTCACAAAAACCAATCTTTTACCTCTTCCTCCTGATGATCCTCACTCAACCTTAATTCCATACTAAGCCTTTCTATATTCTTCTTGATTCTATTTTCCGATTATAATGGGAATTGTGCCATAGTTTTTACTATTCTTAATAATGACAATCACTAGTCCTAAATAATTTGAGCATTTGTAACTTCAAAGGTTCCATAAACTAACAAGCGTTTTGCCGCAGGTGGTTTCTTGGTTCTTCTTGACTCGTTGTGATAAGCCTGGTAGGAAACGTGCTTTGATTTGTGTGTTAAGATCAGAATGGCTTCTGTAGGTGTTGTTCCATCTTCTGGTGTTGGGGAATCTAGTAAAAATACAATTGGTCTTGATAGGCTGCCAAGCAAGATAAATGACATGAAAATTAGGGATGACAAGGTAGATACTTCGATCTTTACTTGTTTATCACTATTTCGTTGCAATCTTGCGTCAGATCAGATGGTCATGATTCCTATTATTATTTTGTGATAGGACATGGAACCAGCTGTTGTAGATGGTAATGGAACAGAAAATGGTCATATAATCGTTACAACTATTGGTGGTAACGATGGCCAACCAAAGCAGGTGATATTTGGCATCCTATTCTTGTCTTGGTTTGGTAGACTTGTTCTTCTATTCTGACAAAATTTCACCATTTCTATTTTAGACTATCAGCTACATGGCTGAACGTGTAGTGGGACAGGGATCTTTTGGAGTAGTTTTTCAGGTAGCCGCTGATATCTTTGTACAAAGTTTTGTTGTTTCAGTAAAAGATTACTACTGATTTCTGCTTGAATAATTTATGGCTTTTGTGAGCTAAATATTGACATTTCTATGGGTATGCTCATGCAGGCAAAGTGTCTGGAGACAGGTGAAACTGTTGCAATAAAAAAGGTTCTTCAAGATAAGAGATACAAGAACCGTGAGTTGCAAACCATGCGTATTCTAGACCACCCTAATGTGGTGTCTTTGAAGCATTGTTTCTTTTCAACTACTAAAAAGGATGGGCTTTACCTTAACTTGGTATTGGAATATGTTCCTGAAACTATTCATCGGGTGATTAGACATTATAGCAAGATGAGTCAAAGGATGCCTATGATATATGTGAAACTTTATGCTTATCAGGCACGTTTTACTTGTATCACTTTTGTTTTTCAGTTTCACCGTTGAATTTTGATTTACCACTTTCTGTGTTAAATTTATAATTCTGATTATCTTATTTTCTCTAAATGAGTCTCTTTCTTAGTTGTGACTTGTGAGTTCCTCTTTATCAGCAGATTTTCAGAGCACTGGCTTATATTCATGGCAGTATTGGAGTATGCCACAGGGACATCAAACCTCAAAATCTATTGGTAGGCATATGAAGCACACACGTGTTGGCAAAAACTGTAATGATGTGCAATATTCAGCCGTCCATCTTTGCATGATTTCACGCGTGTTAATTGCCATGTTTCTCATGTGACTTACAGGTTAATCCACATACTCACCAGGTGAAACTATGTGACTTTGGAAGTGCTAAAGTACTGGTAAGTGTCATCTTTTTAACTGTTCAGCATATTGTTTGCTTTTCATTTTATTTTTCCTGATGTTGTTTGACTATATGGCTTAATTTATAGGTAAAAGGAGAGCCAAACATTTCTTATATATGCTCTAGGTACTATCGGGCTCCTGAGCTCATATTCGGCGCCACAGAGTACACTACTGCCATAGATATCTGGTCTGCCGGATGTGTTTTGGCTGAATTACTGCTAGGACAGGTAATATAACTTATGTATTTTAAAATCCTTTAATATTTAGGAAAGTTATTATGACCATGTACTGAAGAGAGAATTTCCTTGGGAATTTCAGCCCCTCTTTCCTGGTGAGAGTGGAGTGGACCAGCTTGTTGAAATAATTAAGGTAATTGCGATTAGATGAATCCTTCAATTTTTCTTAAAACTTAATTCATACTATTATATTTTGCCAGTGCCCTATGGTTAATGCATTCCATCCAATCAGCTCACTTTAGAAGTGCTTATTTCCACGTAGGTCTTGGGCACCCCAACAAGGGAGGAGATCAAGTGTATGAACCCCAACTACTCTGAGTTTAAATTCCCTCAAATTAAACCGCATCCATGGCACAAGGTACCAAGGATATTATTCTATGTTCCTTGCTTTGATGTGGTCATCATTTTGCTTTGTTTAATTTGACAATATCATCATCTTCAGATATTCCACAAGCACATGCCTGTAGAAGCTGTGGATCTTGTATCAAGGCTACTGCAATATTCTCCAAATTTACGATGCACAGCAGTGAGTATCAGAAACTTTGACGAACTATATAGTAGAAAAACTCTATTTCCAATTTTCATAGTATTTCTTCCATTTTCTCCAAATCCTTGTAAGGCAGCGTATCAATGGTTAAGCTGCTTTAACATCATATCATGCGAGTCTGGGGTTTCTCATACTGTTGATTTTATAGTAATTTCAAAGTCCCAACCCTGAAAGACACCATTTAACACAGTTAGCTTCTTATAGAACCAGTCAAGGTCTTTTTGTGCCATTTATTCTATGGTTATTTCTTAGTGGCACTGGCAGAATTTTCCTCTACTGTATATCTAATGTAAAGAGACTAAGATCTACAGTACTCCTTACCCTACTCAGGAGAAAAAAGAAACGAAAAACTGCTGTTTGCTTTTGCATATATGCGTCTGGCGGGTATATAGGCAGCTAGCTAGGGCATTTCAGCTGATTATATGAATGTAACATTGATGTCATTGGATTTTCATAATTAGTATTTCTCATTTATGGTTTTGCTTATTCCAATGAAGCTGGAGGCATTGATACACCCTTTCTTTGATGGGTTGCGCGATCCAAATGTTCGCCTACCAAATGGACGTTTTCTTCCTCCATTGTTCAATTTCAAACCACATGGCAAGCATTAAGCACTCATTCTTGCTACTTTGTTCTTCTGTTTTTTTAAATGTCTCTTGTAGCGATCTTCTCTTTATTGTTTCTTCTGCTAATGTTTATTAGAGCTCAAGGGCGTGCCAGTCGAGTTGCTTGAGAAGTTGATACCTGAGCACGCACGGAAGCAATGTCCATTTCTTGCTCTCTGACGTGCTTTTCTAGCCTTTCAATTCTAGCTGCAGATAGTTGCTACTAATCGGGAAATGCGAGTTTGTTGCAGTTCTGTTCAAGTAATTTCTTTTCGTCTTTTGTTCGAAATGTCTTGTATTTATTTTATTTGCTTGTACCATTCAAACAAGAAGGTTCTCCAGCTCTCCAGTTAAGTAGGAATTTGACTAACTTTATTTCCTGACAACAACTGTAATGTACTGTTGAATGGAAAGCTTGATCTATTCTTTCTACTAGTGTAAGTTTTTCAGTTTTTTAATGATGGATCCCTAGTCAGTGTTTTTATATGTTGATTTATATTTTGATATTTTGTTAATGTGAGATTTATCCCTTAACATATTTTCGCAAGATGATGATTTGTTTGAGCAGATCAATTTTGAAATTCATGTGCCTATTTTTTAAGACTTAGTCGGATCAGATTGTTCGTTTGAACTTAACGAGCTTTGATATCATGTTAAAATTTAGAATTTTATCTTGGGAGGTCAATTTTATTAAGATGAATAGTGAAAACACTTATATGTTGGCCTATATCTCAATATTTAATCGATGTAGAATTCATCTCTTAATATTAACGTTAATATGGTAATAACGTGTATCACTACTAGACTTAGGGCTACAAAAAAAATCGCGAAATCGCAAACCGAATCGAAACCGTTGGTTCGGGTTCACGTGAATCCGTGGTTTCTTTTTCCTCAAATCGAACCAAATCGTTTTAAAATGGTTTTGTTTAGGTTTTGATTTTTAGAAATCGCACAAAATCGAACCGAACCGTTTTTAAATTTTTTAATTAAAAATTAATTTTATTAACTTAAAAATTTAACGTGTTTCACTTAAAAAAAATATTAATTTAGCAATACAAATTACAACAAGCCTACGTAAATAGTCATAGAAAGTAAATTATGATCATGATTATTGACTTATGATTTAACAAGTTCACAATACATGCCTTTACCAGATATCTAAACTAAATTAAACTAAAATTATTCCAAAATTATATGAAATGAAAAAAAGCATATATTTTCAACAATTCAAATTATAATTCTATGAAACTATGTCAACAAATCACATCCAAAGTTTCACAAATCATAATATAAACTCTCATTTTACTAACATCTGACGCTTGTCTGCCACTACTGAACAAATCCCCAGTCGCCATTACCCGTTGATTTACTAATCTCTACATGAATTGCATCTTTCTTTCGGTAAGTCTTATATTGTTATCAAGTCATTTTTCCATTATTCATTCCTTTACTTGTTTTTGTGAACTTATTATATACTTGTGAGTTGTGATTTTGATAGAAAAATGATTGTTTGTGTCCTAAATGATTAATGAACTTGTTTGTAATTTGGAAAGAACAAAGGACGAAGCGTATTGATTACGTGAAAATGTTAAAATTCTTTACCTAGTACTATTACCTTCTACTTTTATGAAGTAGTTAGATGATAAAATTCATCAATTCCCAATAAGTCAAAACTCTATCAATCTTTGTACATCTAAACATATCTCATTCAATCCTTATTTAACATCTCACTAACAAAACGAAAGGAGTTTTAACTAAACTATAATAACAGAATGTATCTCCACCTTTATCATCCGCTATATGAAAATAAAAATGTCAAACAAGGAAATGTAAATAAAAATGAAGAAAGATGTATTTGTTCTATTAACATCTTTTAGTAATCAATTTTGAAAATAATTTATTTATATGTTTCATGGTAAATATGAATGTAATTTAACATTATTAGTTCTCGTTTAAACTTATATTTAACTTATGTTAAATACATTACTATAATATTGAAAGGTAAACCAAGGATTAAAATCAAACCAAACCGCAAATTATGGTTTGGTTTAGTTCGAAAAATAAAATGGTTTAGCTTGGTTTGATTTGAAAAAATTTCAAACAACATAAAATGGCTTGAGTTGAAAATATAGCACAAACCATTCAAATCGAATTGCATTCACCCGTGTGGACTTATAAATATTATAGAGACACTCCCCGCATTTAAAAAAAAAAAAAAGGAAATTTAGCTAAAGTTCATTTCCCAGATCTTGGAACCAAAATATTTTCCATTGTAGGCCAGCCGAATAACTCTATGGCCCAAACATGACTCGTGTTGGGCTACTCTGGCCCGGAAGGCCAGCTATTTTATTATTATTAATATTATTATAATTTATTTTTTTAAATGAAAACAATAAAATTGCTCCGCCGCTATGTTGTCAGATTTTTGGGAGAAATTTAAAAAAGAGTAATGTCATTTATCATGATAATTAATAATGTGGCAATTCATTCTCCCTCATATTTCTCTCTTTTGAAATCACTTTTAGGGATAATAATTTGAACCGTCAAAATCGAAAATCGCGGTTAATCGAATCGAATGGATCGAAAAAAATCGAACCGATAGTACGATGGGGCGGATATGATTTTTATTTTAATGAACCGGTTCTTGGCGGTGCGGTATGGTATTTACGCCGTCGAACCGAAATCGAACCGATTACCCGCTAAAAATAAAATAAAAAAAATTGAATTGATTATTGGGCTTTACACTACTTTTCTATCTAACCCAAAACAAAATCCCCCCTCCCAATTACATCTACATGACTCAGCCGGCCAACCCACTTATTATTACCCCATAATAATAGCATTAGTATGACATTATATAAATGCAAATCCTACTGTTCACAAATTACAAACTCACGCACGGCTCCTTTTATTGTTAATTTTTTTCTATTGTGTGTAGAAAATTCTACTTTTTCATCATACTCTAGAACTTGTGCAACGTTTAGCGAGAAGAAAGCTGACGAAGAGGTATATTTTTTTATTTAAATCTTAGTTAAAACCATTCTAGAATACGTAGTATCGTTGTAATCTCTACTTACATTTCTTATTTACTATATAGGAATCAACTTTGAGTGTTGTCTATGCTAGTAAGTTTTGTGGGGAAGAATGAATCAAGTAATTTGGATGTACAATAATTAAGAATGAAGGAAAAGTTTAGTATTGTTATATTTATAATATTGTTTGTTAAATTTGTATTTTACAATTGAAAATTAGGATAATATTTGCTTTTTCGTTTGAAATATTGTTTGATAATGTTTGCATTTTTGTTTAAAATATTGTGTTTTTATTTTCATTGACTTTTTTCATAAATTGTTTTATATCAATTTTATAGATGAACTTATAAAAAATAATTTATTTTCGTGGTTATTAACTGAATCGAACCGTGCCGAACTAAGATAACAACCGAACTGAACCAATTTACGTAATTATGGTGCGATTATGATATGATCAAAAAATTGATGGTGCGATTATGATTTTAGTCGAACCGACCCATAACCAAACCGTTGCCAATCCTAACCACTCTCCTCGCCGCTCTCACAAAAAATGATCTGTCTAATCCCATTATTTATGTAACCTGTCACATCACCAATATTTTATTATGATAATGACAAATAATATTATTCATTGAAAAAAAAAGGGGTCCCTTAACGTGCAAACTACTTATGTGACTTTGAATTTAAACCTCTGACCACCAATTATTATGCCCCACCATGCATGATATGGATGTTAATTATTAACGCGTTGCTGATAAAGTAAGTAACGAACAAGTCTAGTCTAGCCCTGTTTGAAGTCCTTTTTCAAAATACATTTTGTAGTGTGATTTTTTTTTTTAAATATTATTGAAAAGTAAAAAAAAAAAAATTAATTTACATATAAAATTATTTTATTGAAAGAATGTATGATTAGAAATAATTTCTAAAAAATTAGGCTCAAATAAAGTCTAGAATATTAGACAGACTAATATTCTGTTTTGACAATTAATATTTGATTATTTCAATTAAGTTACACAATTTTAATTTACTCAAATATCACCATTATGTATATCAACTTCGCTAAACCAACGATCTTTTACTAATTCTTAACCGGATATTACGTGGCATCCACGAGGTATCTAGTGAGTCTATTAATCAATATTCTTATTTTGTCGAATAAATAAAACAAAATCAATACTTAAATATGTGTTGTAAATTAAATTCTCTTTTTCTTTTTTTTTTCCTTTTTTTTTTTTTTATATTTTTTGGCGTGGGGTGGGATCGTAAGGGAAATTGACACATTGGACCTTAATCTATGTGATTGTTGTGCGAATGGTCCCCAATATTCAAATCTTGACGCAAACATCCATAATCTATTTATTTTAGATGGTTCTCAATCAAATAACCGTTACAGAGGTCAGACTTTTGATTTAGAGATTAAAAATACCCTTACATTAGTTTAAATTATAAAATTTTTAAAATGCATACAAGACAAAGAAAAGTTAACCCATCCTACCAATCAAACGCAAATAAGAGCATTTCCAAAGCAATATTTGCTTTAAAAATTGAATGCAAAAATTAAAATAAAATGTGTGTAAAAAATTCATTTTTCGATGCGAGTTGTTAGGGACTCTATCAAATTATGTTTTTCCCAAAAGTTCATTTCAAATACGCATTCTACCAATAAAATATTTTTTCACGTAAACCTTCCCCCCCTCCACCCCCAACCACCACTTTTTAACTACAAAATTTTCAAAAAATACTATTACAAAACTCATTTTTAATAAAAACGAAACGGGGCTCAAACATCGCCTTTATCTACAGATTTAGATGTAATTTGTTATTATTTTAAAAAAAATGAAGAAGGCATAAATAGTACTCCATATAATGCATGAAAATCAAGTTTGAACTTGAATGTCTACTCATTAGACATCAATGACATGTACATGGAAAGTCATTCGAAATCTATTTTTCTCTAGAGTAATTCTGACTCACACAAGGTCGGCCCCATTGCGGAGCCCAATATAATAAAAAATGATAAAAAAAAATTCTAACCACATATGGTGTGAGACTTCTGTAAGAAGTCTGTGAACTGGGAGTCTGTACCCTTAGCTCGGCTGTTTTCTCTATCCAACATCATGATAAAGTCCCTACCAGCTTTGGAGAGTAATCTTTTAAATACCTTCTATTCTACTTATGCGACAAATTTTTTAGAGAAAATCATGGTTGAAGAATGAATTGTCTTTTCTTTTTATCATATTATGCCCATGTTTGAGCCATATTCTAGAAAAAAAATGCATTATTCATATCAAATTAATAGAAAATGTATGGTTAAAAAATAAGAAAAAATTTTAGATTTGCATGTAATATTATTTTATTGAAAGATATGTGTTGAAATGATATCAAATCACTATTGAAGAATATATTTTTTTGAAAATAATATGGTTCAAACAAGCCCTATGTTTTAGGAATG